GGTGGATTCACCATCCCTGGAGGTTTTTAAGCAGAGATTGGATGTGGCCCTTAGTGCCATGATATAGTAATTGGAGTTGGATCAGGGGTTGGACTTGATGATCTTGGAGGTCTTTTCCAACCCAATCTATTCTATGATTCTATTCTATGATTCTATTACAACGTGTGGGTCAGAATGACATGAGCTTTTCTATTTAATCCTTTCACTTATTTAGTGGCTTGGAGTGAACAGTCCCAATGCAATGTGAGTGTGGTAGGAAATACACTTATATCCACAGCCAAATTTCTTAAATGTGAATCAACAGTACATCTCCCTGTTGAATGCTATGAAGTGTGAGTCCCTGGTGGTCAAAATGCAATTTTGGCTCCCAGGGGGAGTGGGAGTTCTACTCAGTCCCAGTGTGTTAGAACAAGCTTCTGGAAGGTGGTGAAGATGTGCATGAGTCACATCAGGTTTTAATGCATGGAAACCTAGTATTTGAGCCTTACAAGTGTTATGAACTACTGCTGCTTTCATCATCGTCCAAGGGAGCTTTTGGGCGCCAATCTCTTGCAGTAATTCTGAGCTATAAATTCCAACCTTGCACACCAACCATCAGGTCTGTCAGAACAGAGGATGGAGGTTTTCAGTGCCCATTTTCTGTGTGGTCTTTCCTCCTGGTGTAGCCAGTGGAGTCTGTGAACTCCACTTCTAGGCAAATGAGCTCTTTCCCTGGCTCATTCGGTTTTCCCAGACATTTGTTCAAAGGCCAAGTTCCCAAACTCTGACTACCTGAGTTCCTTTTAGAAATGTGTCTGATTTAGGCACTTCTAAAGATGTTATTTTCAGGGTCCAACATTTTAACAAACCCCTCTAATATCACAAATTAAAGTAGTTCTCACAGAATCTGCAATCAGACACGTAACCAGCAGAGTAAAGACAAGAAGGAGGAGGAAAGGCTGAGAGAGCTGGGCCTGTTCATACTGGAGCAGAGATGACTGGGAGGGGACCTCATCAATGTCTGTAATTATCTGAATGGAGGGTGTCAGAGGACAGAGCCAGGCTCTGCTCGGTGGTGCTGAGCAACAGGACAAGAGGCAATGGGCAGAAACTGTTGCACAGAAGTTCAACCCGAGGAAGAACTTCTTTACTGTGTGGGTGACTGAGCACTGGAGCAGATTGTTCAGAGAAGGTGTGGAATCTCTCTCACTGGAGATATCCAGAACCATCTGGATGCAATCCTGTGTCATGTGCTCTGGGATGACCCTGCCTGTGCAGGGAGGTTGGACCAGATGACCCCCTGGTCCCTTATAGCCTTACCCATTCTGTGACTCTGGGATTCTGTGATTCTGCTGACAGGTAGTCCTGCCAAACACAGAGAAAATGGGACATACAAGAACAAATGAAAAAAGGAGAAGACTGATTTCCAGTCACTGGTTATTTAATGTTCGGTGAGTTTGCTATTGGATGAAAAGCTAATACAGCAGAGATAGAAGGTGAAGGACAGAGATTCAGAGATGGAGAGTCAGAATGAAATAAAGCTGCTCTCCAGCTACTTCAGAGAAATCACTAGTTACTGGCAGTGTAACAGCAGAGCCCCAGTGATTCTCTTTACATGGCATTTGCAAGTATTTAAAACAAATTGTTTAGCTTTCATTTAATTTGTCTGTTCTACTTTTTAAAATTGTACCTAGTGAAATACTCAAATCCACACATGGTTTGTCATTCCCCCTCCCATGAAAGAGTTACAGGTGACCAAGAACACTGTGAGTACAGGTGTGATGGCTTGCAGAGCCAACAGCAACCATCAGCAATACCAGCAGGGTTGCAAGAGCTGGGGGAGTGCAGCTTTAACCAAATCCAGCTTCCTTCTGGCTTTTCACTAATTTTCCAGAGACACTTTGCTGAAGAAGCAGGATAGAGCAGAGGAGGTTAGGAGGACATGAAGCAGCCTGCGCGTGCCTTTAACATTAAGAAATAGGTTCAGTTAGGGATCTGAAGATCCTGTCTGATCATTAGCAAGGTTACTGTGCTGGGTGATGTGCTGGGTTTGTGTGCAAGTTTTTGGTAGGGGGCAGAGGTGGGTCTATGAGAAGCTGCTGGAAGCTTCCATATGTCCGACAGAACCAATTCCATCTGGCTACAAGATCTGCCATGGGGGCCCATCAGCAATGGTGGTAGAACCTCTGCTAACACAGTTAGGAAGGGGAGGAAAAAAACTGCAGAGGAGTGAAGATGTGTGAGAAAAACAGTACTGCAGACACCTAGGTCAGTGTAGAAGGAGGGGCAGGAGGTGCTCCAAGCTCTGGAGAAGAGATTTCCCTGCAGCCCACAGTGAAGACCATGGTGAGGTTCCCCTGCAGCTCGTAGAGGTCCATGGGGCAGCAGAGATCCACCTACAGCCTATGGAGGATCCCACACCAGAGCAGATGGATGCCTGAAGGAGCCTGTGACCCCGTGAGAAGCCCATGTTGTCACTGTATTTTCAC